CACCAGTTTCACTCACAATACAAGATTCGTTCCCATGGGAAAGTTAATGACTAGATTGGATGAATTTGTAACAGCTCTTGTGGCATAGTTAGAAAGCCAGAAAAATTTTGAGAGGTAATGGAATTTGTCTACTTTCTGAATGTCATTAGTCTATATTTTTTGGTGCATTATTTAATTAAATAAAAATTATTAAGTGCATTACTATAATTACTATAAAAAATTAGGCTCGACAATTGAATACAAGGAAAAAGATTGGGTAAGTACTTTATTTCTTGTTTTACATATTTATTCTGTATTTATTATCATAAGAGTAACTAAAATCTAAAAATACAGATCTTTTTAAGTTAATTAAGACTAGATTAGGTAAAATAAGTAATAATAATATAATTAAAATGGTTCACGAGGCACGCATGCAAGCAGCTCATGGATAATGTAATTCCATAGCGTAACATGAGCTACATGTTCCATGAATGATTTACAACTTATAATGGTGCAAATAGTAGTTAGACATGGTTCAATGGCCAATAAAACAATAAAATTTAATTATAAATAGATGTATACTGTTACAAACTTTGAGCTACTTAGGATAAACGAATGTAGTTTCATATTAGAATTTGAAGTCATTCTAGAAAGAAAAAATTGGTAATTTAAGTTTATTTTGAATTTTTTTGGTGATTACGAGGTCGGTCAATTTGACCAATCCCGTTTTGAGATAGAGTAGCGAAAATAACAGATAAACTATAAAGTTTGAAATGCATTTAGGATGTTTTAGGGATTTACACAAAGGAAATTTGATATTTTTGAGATGAGGAAAAGTATTTTTAATTTTAACATGAAAATTACTTTGCACATGGACTATTCAAAATAAATACTCAATATATTAATGGACAAGTCTTTATTTTTAAAAAGACTTCACTAAAAATGATTTTTCTTTGTGAAAGACTTGGAATACTAACTGAAAGACTACCGTATTTCTTGAAGATATACACACTATATTGATAGTTATAAGTATTAAATCTACAAAGACTTTAAACGAGTACAAAAAGGTCACATGGTCGGTCAGACTGACCAAGCCAGTATTGAGAGAGTTAATAGTAAACATTTTAAAACACATTTTTAAAAGGATTAATTCTTATGTATTGAATATTTAATCACTTGTTAATAAAGGATACATGGCCAGAAGTAGGTGAACCATGTTATATACATCCAAAACTTAGTTGATAAGTAGACTGCCATTGGAAGGACATTTAGTGCTCTGTCATCAAACATTAACCTGGTAAAAAACCAATACATGAATAAATCAAATTGTTGTACGAGTTACACTAATGCACAAGTAAACTGTTTGTTTTCAGGTATTTTTGCAAAGATACTCAAGGACTATCTGCACTGAACTGATAAACTACAAGGAAGGCAGCTGGCCAACAGCACCCACTGTCAAATTTTGAGCTACTCTTGTCTGACTGAATAGCGAGATTTGACTATCGTTCTTATAATACACACACAGCCCCAACGTATAGAGCTTTTTTTTTTCTCTGTAATTGTAACAGAGCATAAATGTCAGGCCCACAGATCCAAGATCTGACACACTAACCAATGGGCCATACTCAGCCCATACTGACATTTTATGTTTTCAGAGAGAGAGGAAAGGAAAAACTTAAAAAATTATTCTACAAAATTTGGCATGTAGATTTCTTTATATAACTTATGTAACACATTATATTGCTAAAGAATAAAAGTTTAGATCAATGATGAAATAGCATTCACTGAAGTGTGTACAGAAACTCCATCTTCTGCTTACTATGCATATTAAAACAATAACAGAAACTCAAAACGATACTATCATGTAACAAAATAAAATTATGAAAATTTTATCAGAAAAAATAATACAGAATATTTTATCCTAAAAAATATAAAATATATCTTAAAAGCAGAATCAGGTTTCTAAGAATTATGAATAACAGTGCTGAAAGGTCATTATTTAGTTTCTGTAGTGCATATTGGTATATAAAAGACATTTTAATACTAGAAATAAATGACCATAACACTATGTTTGTTATTTTTCATTAATTGTACACTCAACATTTCACTTTACAGCTTCTTCAGGAGTGTTCCACTAAAACAAAAACTGTAACTGACAAGTACAGAGCTTCAAAATTTGGTGTTATAAGGTCATTTATTTCTAGATTTAAAGTGTTGAAGTGTTTATATTTTGATATGACATTTAAAGATGAAAATGCTTACCTCTGAAATATCTAAATATTCTATTAACTTATTAATTGTTTAATACTTGAGAATATTATATACACACTTCATGCACACACTCACTCATAATCTAAAAAAACAAAAACAAAATTTTCAAAACTTTAATTTTGGAAGATGTGCAACTTCATTATTATTCTGTTTAAGTTTACAAATGATAAAAATTGAGTTTATGGTTTCTAATTATCCTTTACAAGTGTATCTAGTTTTGCAATCTTCAAGCAATTTGATTTTTATAAGTTTCACACAATAAGACTTAAAGTTAATATCACTTTCATCAGTCAAATACTTTTAGCACATACAATAAACATTTGTCAGTATTAAAGATTTTTATGGTTTCCTTTCTAAAAAGTAACCAAATCTCTTGTCCTGATATACCGTATGCAGTTCTTGAAAATATAATTATATTACTTCGATTACTCACAAAATCAGATGTATCAAGAGTCACGTTACTTCAAGACATTTATATCAACTACCAAATTATAAATAATTTATACCAGTATAACCACTGCCATTTAATCACATGCACAAAAAGAGGGTTTGTTTTCCAGAATTTGTTAAAAGGTCAGCATAGGGGATTATTTTATAACACAGATGTTATTTTAGTATATCATCATGACTTTAAACAAACAAATGTATTTCATTCATGCATTGTAACCGACATGCAATAACTGTTCAAGGTGTAACACATGTTTAGTGGCTACTTTATCAGAAGGTTCTTGCATTATTATATATTCTTAAGAATTTCTCCCAGAACATTGTACACTTACCTTCCAGTAAAACATATAGCACAACACAAGATGAACAATATTCCTAGTTTCACAAGATATGTCTCATCACAATCCAGTATGGCACCAATCATATAAAACACTATAAACGGACAACCAAGCATGGACCAGTACCGCACAGTCTGACAAAAAAAATATACTAGTATTTAATTTCTTTAAACAAAAATTACTCAAAAAAAACATATTATCCAAAATTACTCTCTATTTTAATGAACTTACTGCTTTTTCTCACAATAATCACCAATGATTAAAATTTTTTTAACCAATCATTTTTTACTTCATTTTTCCATTATTACATCCTAATGTAAACCAAAAGTAATTAGCTGCAAACCTCACCTTTCACATTAAAGAATAATGAAGTTTATGAATCTCTTTACCTTGTCTTTGAACAGTCGTATAAAAAAATGTTTGTGAGTTAATTCTTTTTCAGCTTCTGCTTCCTGAATTCGCTTGGCCATCCATGTTGCTTTTAGTCTTAAGGCCATCATTCGTGGAGTATCACCCTGTTATCAGAAATACTTTTAAAGATCTCCAAAAACTTTCAATCCAGTAACTACGTATATGACTTAAACAGCATACATCACACACACCCAAAAATATTATAATAATAAAACAAAAAAGTACACCACCAGGAAAATTTACATATCAGGTATTACATTTGGATGTTATTTTTCCTTATAAAACTTTGATCTAAATAGTAATAAAAAAAAGACAATTGTTGCAAAGCATCTATCAATAAAACATAATAATAAGAATAATCTTCTATAACAGAATTTTGGAAACAGCCTAAAAGTCAGTTGTTTATTTTTTTATCAGCATTAGTTAAAAGATGTTTTAGTTTTTCAAAATACAGGTGAAAAGTCAAATTTTTGAAATTCCTTTAACTGTTCTTTATGATGATATATTAAGTGTATATTTGAAGAAATATTAAGTATTTAACTGGAGCTATCAAACGTCAATTAAAGTTTTCTTGGCATTGCCCAAGCACAGTTTATAATTTTCATAATTTCCTGTTAAGTTTTAATCACTTATTCTCATTTTAGCATATAAACATATGATTTTTTCCATTTGATTTAAATGTATCTACTTCAACTTATAAGAATTATGTTAATTTACCTTATACTAGGTTTCAGAAATATATACACCTTTAAAAATAGCCAAGCTAGAGAAGGTTGACTTTTTAACTAAATTTTATATGATAATCAAGCCATTTTTTTAAATTATTGTCTTCCACAAGTAGTAATTTACTAATGAAATCTCAAGATTGCAAAAGTTGAAATCAAAAGTATAAAAATACATCACTATGAATAAGTTATATGCATTAAAAAAAAAATATTTTAAGCACTTTTTTGAAAGTATAAACATTAGACATATTTATCAAACAATGAAAAGCATTAGAACAGCAAGCAAAACTATTGGCTCTTCTTGAGTTTTATCAGTCCATAAAGACAGCATGGGGTCTGCATGCTCTACGATGTGTTCTAGGCCATTTGGAACACTAAATATTAATATTATTTACTGCTAGAACGATAAGTAAACATTGGGTTTCTTTTAACTTTTGCCACTTCAGTTCATGTTTCAATGATCAAAATTACAGACCAGGTAACATACAAACTGATTATTTCATAAAATATTTTGACAGATAATACATATGTGTTTATAATACTTTGATTACCCCAATTAAGTACAAACAGATCATTTCACTAAATACTGAAGTAATACCTATACAAATCAGTTTCCACTAGTGCAAATTACTGACCAATCACTTACAAATTGAGTTTTTTAAAAGGCAGATATGGAATAGTGTGTACATTCATGCATTAACCTCTGCCTATCCCACTAAAATTTTTGTTTCAGTTTTAAAGCAAAATAGTGCATGCTGGAATTTTCTAAATTACGACAAACATTTTTTCAATAAATTTTGGTTAATAAAAGGACATGATAACACATTAGATCAGCTGTCATTTTTTGTAGTTTTTCTATAAAAGTTGCTGAACAGAACTTCTGAATTCCATGTAAATGAAAAAGTTAACATTTTCCTTACCTGAAAATGTATTTTCAATAGATACTTACTTCTCTGCATGCAGTAACTATTTCTCTTGCTTTTGAGATTTTGTGCACACAACTAGCTTTGTACTATCTCCCATCTAAATAGTGTTTTGACATGAACTGCGCTATTACATGATGTAATTATCATGCAGCAATAGCCCTCCACCAATAAGAAGGTAACACGTCCTTCGTGTGCAGTAGATTCCCATAGGCACTTCCATTTGAAGTTAACTTCATTCTCAGATGAGGCAAGAATAAGGTGCACAAGTAGTGGGGAGGAAAGATGGGAAGGTATGCAGAGGGGTATCTACTGGAAACACATTTTCAGTTAAGGAAAATGTTAACTTCTGAAATCATCCACTAATCTCTCTGCACACAGTAGCTAGATTCTCACCATGTGGAGGGGCCAAATACAAACTAGAAAACCTAGAAGAGCTCCTTGCAGAGAAGGCATCACAAGAGGAAAGCCAATGGAGTGTGACAACGAACAGTTCTGGATTACTAGAGGGGCAATACTTGTGGGAAAACACATCCTTCTCAAATAGGGTATACTCTTTGCCCAAATGGAAATATGAAAGAAGGAATGCAAAAATGAGCCAATGTGTTGCAGTGATGAGAAGAAAGAATACATGACCAACTGAGCTTCTGCACACAACAGGTAAGATGGACATGAGGTGTGGCATGGCTAAGGAAATAATTAGATGATACAGTTTGGAATGTGTTCTGTTATACAATTTACTCACCATACATACAAGAATGGGAACTAAGGTCCTTTCATGCCTCCTGAGGAGAACATTTTGCTCCATTTGGCTGGTTAAAACCAATGGAAAATTCACATACAATAGAATAGGGATGACCTGCATTACACTGACATGAACACCACAGTCCTAATTCCAGCTGATCTGTACTGCTCACTTGGACTGTCTCTGAAGAACCACTCAAATGGTAAGGAACTCTCCAAGTTGACCAGCCCAGCAACTATAAAGCAGGAATGGCAAGGGTCTCCCATGCTCCACTCGAACACCGTGAAGTGGGATTTACTGCCCATCAAGTAAGAATAGGCAATTCTACATAAAAAATGAAGGGACAACACTCCTGGATGGAAAAGTAATGTACAAGGTTGGAGCAAGAGGAACTTCAATGATAGAAGAAGAAGAAGAGGTATCTAAGATGCTAGAATCTCACATTGAATAGGCAGAGGGACCAGTGCAAGAGACAAAAATAAGTATCCTTTGAAAGTTTCCTAAGAACACCCATGTGGAAAAGGAATACACGTAGGAGACTGCATTGCTTCTGTGCCAGATATACTCTGTGCCCAGTGTGGAAATAGGTGTCACATACACGGGCAAGAAGTGGGAGGAGCACAGCCAAAAGGGAGAGAAAAACCAGGTGGGTTCGAATCTGAACCACAATAGATAGGACTGTAAAAGAAACATATACAGACAGGAATGTGAGGAAAGGTAAAAAGGATGTGCTTCAAGGTGTAGTAGCTAGGGCACGATGGACCATACATGGCTGGTCAACTCCATAAAACCAAGCAATTACAACTTCCAACCCATGGTAGGAGGAGGGTCTACACTGTCTTCACCTCAAGTTGAGTAGAACAGAATTATATACATGTCACACTGATCTTCTAAACAGGGCACATGTGAGCAAATCCACAACCACTCATACATGTGGGAAAATGACATCCAAATGACGGTATGAAGGGATGTGCCAATATGGTGGTTTACATCTAACCAAATCCAATCCAATTGTAACCCCTCAGTGGAACAGCAGCTTCAGAGAGGGTAAAAACTTTGAGGCGGAGCACTAGAGGGAGAACCTTCGCCCAAAACAACATCATCCTCCGGACAGGACCATACAGAAGTTAAACACACGTGCGTGCAACATCAACCTCTGGAATCCACTGCAATGATGTGGAAAATAACTACAAAATTGGAGTTAGGATGAGGAATCACAGCCAACAAATATGTGAGGATTAATGTTGATTATTCCAGCTCTTATCCAAAAACCATTCATTGAGAACCAACATCCAGGTGATGGTAGAACAAGGGATCCCAATCGAAGGGGTGAACTGCAATGTGATGGATCTACTCTAAAGCAACATCCTCCAGATAGGACCGCACAAAATTGGAGTGCAACATCAACGTCTGGGTGCCACCACATAGAAATGGATCACTTCTGTAAAATATATGCAACTTCACCCTCCAGATAGAATCACACAGAAGCTGGGCAGAGCATCAACCTCCAGGACCTACTGCATCAAGGTGAAACAAATTTATTTGTAAATATGTACATCATCATTTCCCAAATAGGACCACACAGAAGCTGGAGCTCAAAACTAACCTCCAGGTCTCACTGCACAGAAGTGGATCACCTCTACAAAATATATGCAACCTCACCCTACGAATAAAACTGCACAGAAGCTGGGTGCAACATCAACATCCTAGACCCACCACACAGAAGTGAAACACATGATTGGAAAATCACGTGTCAATCAAAGTGACAGCAGAGATGGGAAGTTTTCCCATTCTGCTTTACCCATGCAAGTCCATGGGTTAGTACAGAATAGATATCTTAATAAATCAAATACATTGTGAGGAAAAACCTACTGGCGATCTTGTGGAACACCCCATCTCAACAGTGTGCATTATTGGCCATGGGTATACATCTTGGCCGTACAATGTGGATTTAAGATATAGGAAGCACACCTGGACAGGCAACACTGAGTGGGGTCAGAATCCTAAATGCAACTTTCCCCTGGAGGGAAAATATATATAGAAAAGATAACTTACCCAGTCACAGCCACACCAAAGTTTCAAAGATGGCAACACAACAAACAGAAGGCGTTATCCCCATGAGGAGGAAACAGCTATCCAATGAAGATAGTGGGAGATGAATGTATGAGATGTAGGCCTCATGCCTGACTGAAGAGTTTGCTCCAATGGACAACAGAGGTGAGACTCCAGGAAAAAGAGAAGATACCCAATCTTATGTGAAGACACTTGGAACACAATTTTTGAAGAAAGAGACAGAAACTTTGTAAAGAAAACAGGAAGGGTAACTGGGGAGTCCAAGGGAACTTGAGCAAGATTTCACTGGCCATGCATAGTCCACTGAAGAGAATGCCTATGTGTTCGACCCAAAGGCATAAGAGCACCCATAGAAGCCCAAGTACTCAAAAGCAACAGAACTTCTCATGTAGAAACCGAGGAAGCTGTAAGTGCATGGAGAACTGAGAGCACTATCGAACAGAGAAGTGGAGAAGGTTGGGCCAGAATGAAGTGGATAAAACAGTGGGTAGGAAAAAGGAAAACTTCTTCAACCCAGGATTCCAATGAACATGAGCTGCTACTGTCAGCAGCAGATGTGTTTGTTCAGAAGACTCCAGTTTGGAATGAGCTAATAGGAGCCAGTCATCCATGTAGTGGTGGACACTCAACTCTAGAGTATGCAGAAGTTGAGCAAAAGCCGTGACCACCCAATAAAATACACACAATGCTGAAGTAATCCTGAAAGACCAGGCATGAAACTGATACACAACTCCGTAGTGAACAAACCAAAGATAGCATCTGGACTGATGAGAAATGTGAATCTGGAGATAAGCATTCGAAATGTCTACCTTGGTCATCCATAGTCCTGGAGGAAAAAACCCACAAATGTGATAAAGGACTTCATGAGAAATCAGGGATAATCAAGAAATTAGTTGAGGCAGGACAGATGGATCACAGAACAAAAAACCTGGAGTAAAATCCTGGAGAAGGTTGGCTGACAAGCTCGACAGTTCCACGTGATAGAAGAGTCAGTATAACCTTGAAAAGATGCAGACAGGTAGCTGGAGCCCAAGTGAATGGGAAGGAAATTGGTACAGGAGGCAAAGGTGGTGGAGAATGGAAAAGGATGAAAAATCCTTCTGACAAAACTTGGATCACCCAAAAATTGCTGATAAACCAAAGCATAATGATCAGAAGTTCATGGAGGATGAGGCATGCTAACACCAGACTTTAACTGAGAAATGAAATGATCAGCATGCACCCGGATGTCAGGGGAAGGACAGAAAACAAGGGACTCTAATGATAGGTATTAAGTAAATAAAAAAGAAGGAACAGTATCATATGAAATTGGTAAAAAACAGCAAATGGAACACACCTGAGAAAGCATATCCAAAAAGGCAGAGTTAGGCCTAGTAGATTTCATAGGAGATGCATGGGAAGGAAGGCACGGCATAGTCAGGAAGAGGAAAAAGGCTGTCAAAATCCTCCTTGTCACGAACAGGTTCGTACAATGTAGGACGAACCCGAACATTGTCGGGAGAAAAAGGACGCCTCATAAAATAATCAATTTCCTGACGAATAATAGCCAAAAAATCCTCAGTCAAGACCCCCAGACCTGAAGCCAATAATAATATCAAAAATTGGAAAACATAAACTTCAGAATTCAACCTACTGCGAAGAAGTCTGAATGATAAAAAAAAATCCATAAACAAAAGTAAGTTATCGTGGCAAACTACTACAGGCAAAACTAACTGTAGCAATATAAATAAATCAAGTAAATCACTACTTCTCAAAAAAAAAAAAAAAATGAAATGAACATGTAAAAATGGCACAATTGAAAAACGTCTGCACTAGATCACTACCTAGTGAGAAATGATAGTTTGGTGGAATCGAATGTAGGGAGTAACATGCATCAGGAGAGTGTGTCACAATCCTATTAGTGGAGGGTTGGTTGTCGTATGATGATTTACATGTAAGACGCAGTTGAACCACATTAATCCTGGGGTACATGGGAGTTCAAGGCTTGCGGAATGCAAAAAAAAATTTAATATAGATGGCAGCACTGAACGAGAATAGCTAGACATGTGAGAATAGGTTATGTACCATATTGGAAATTCTCTATATATTTCGAAACTTGCTATGCAGATGTACACTTGACACCTGAAAAGTGCTCATTGGTTCAGACATAGTTAAATTTATGCAAGATATATGTAAGTAACATAACTCAAAACAAGACTGAATTAGAATCAATATTTTTCATTAAAACAAAGTTTTATTTGTATCAGATGACCACACTGTAGTTATAAATGTAGTAATTACTGTTACTCTCTGAAACTGCTTAGGATAAATAATAGTATCCTCCTGAGCATTACAGTAGCCTTATATTTTTGTTCTGAAACAAAAGTGTACTGGTCTGTTTCCTTTTTAAAAATATCTTAATGTTTTAAATGAATAATAAAATTTGTACTGAAAGCTGACACTACCTACACAACAAAATTTTGTTATTATTACAAAGAACTATTTAAATTAAATTTGAAAAAGTACAATTATTAGTTTCTTCTTAACATATTTTAATGTTTTCCATGTACAGTGCTACTTACGAGGCCTGTGAGAAAAGTATCCGACCTTTGGGCGGGGAATAAAAACTGGCATACCTGAAGCGTTGGAAACCTAATCA